TCAGTGTGGTCTATGCCATGTGGAACCTCTGATTTTTCCAAGGTGCCATGAAATGCTTGTTCTTTTGTTGCAGCCAGATGCTTGGCATTTTGGTTGTTGCTTGAAGTACACAGCAGGAGATCAAAGGACAGATCCCTAGGGGACTGAAGAACTAAAAATATTATTTGCTTGATCAGGTTGTTATGTTTTTAAACATCTAAAACACAGGTAAGTCAGTATATCTTCCCAACTTCGTTGTTCCTAGGGGTGAATATGGTCAGCCAGAGCAGAGGAGGATGGTGGATAGGGAGGAAAGTTCTGCAGTGGGGAGTGTAGTGATTTTAAGTTAGGAAGTGTTTCTTAGCATGGTTATATGTATATATGACAGAAATACAACAAAGCACAATAGAAGTGTAGCAAAGGGTATTGTAGAAGATACAATAAGCTTAACCATATAATTTTTAGTTTAGTTTTTAAAATACAGTGCTTGGTGCATAAATAAATGATGCACCGAGACCAGCTGTATCTTGAAATCAGGTACATAAAATAACATGCTTTGATATTTGCCAGGTAATTGGGGGAAAAAGTATTTAGTGTTTTACCTGTTTGTATTTTCAGTGATAGAAATTTTTGAATGGCGGTTGTAATATTGTGTACAGTAAGTACATGTACAATTTCGGTTCAAGTTTCAGAATACTTTCTTTGTAATGCTTAAACTGCAAATTAGTCAAGATTCATTAGACATTAAATAAATGGTACTTATTGTTAAAAGATGCTTTTAAAAAATAATACTGCATATGGAACTAACCTTCTTTGAAGCTACAGACTAGTAGTCACTGTAATTCTAATTTAATATTACGTACTGCTTTCGCCTGTCCTTGTCTTTAAGTAGGTGTAATTGTAATACATAAATATGCTCTGTGTATTCTGTTAAGACTTTGTTTGATACTACTTTGTGCTTTAAGATAGACAAGTGTAGTATTGCAGCTCTAGTACCAGAGATTCTGTCATCAAACACTTGGCTTTGTTACTAAGCCAAGGTAGCGATGCTGATATTGACAAGTAATTAGTGCTGCAGGCGCAGATCATGAGATGAAAGCGGTTGAATCTGACAATCGTGCATCTTCGTGGCACTGTGGTTCCAGTGTGTTCCTTTAGACCAGCCTTGGTTGCCTGGACAGAATGCCCATACTGTGCACGTAGTCAGAGCTGTGTGGAACATGTGATGTTGGTTTGGACTCTTGAGGACTCGGCTCTGTTAGGAGTTGGAGCGCTTGTGGATCAGAGCTTCCAGTTCTTGTTCCTCAAAAAGAAATCTAGTTTGCATGCCCCAGGACTTTTCTGTAACACAAGCTGGTATATGGGAACAATCAAGCAGTGTGCCTTAATACCATGGTGGTGTTGCATGTCAAACTGTTACTGTAAATGCAGCTGTAATATAGGTTTTGTTACCTGGAAATACTTCTCCACAGACTGGAGGTGTGTTTGCACATACTTTGCAACTACTCTGTGTGCAGATGTGTACATGTCCCTTGTTTGTAGTTCTGAAGTTGTATGTGGTTTTCTTGCTGTAGAATTTCTCCCTGAATGAATTTTAAAATCTTAATATAAAATACTGTGAGTGAATATGTATAGCCAAGAGCAGCCAAAAAAAAAAAAAGAGAGGTAGTAGGATTTAAAATATTCAGAGCCTACTAGCTTCCCTCAGCCTCACTTGACATCCAAATCCTGCATTTTCTACACAATGAGAACGAGAAAAACAATCCCTTGAATTTCTAGGCTTCTATAGCTTTGGATGGGTATGTGCTTGCACCTGGTAGACTCCTCTCTTGGATCAAAATTATGTCTTATGCTTCTCCCTTGGAGTAGTCCTATTCTAAAACCTGACTTCATGTTGGTGATATGGCAGGCAGTGCATTTGTGTAGCCCATGTTTCATTGGCTGGCGTTGGTTTGCATAGTGCTTTAGAGAATGTTTGTTGTTTTCATTAAAGGTAGATTTTTACATTCTAACTGTTTATTGTTGCTTTCTATATAATGGAGCTCTTCTCATTCTTGAATCTTGGAGTCTTTTTGATGTTTTGAGTTTTTCATTTCCTTACCAGTATAGTTTGCACACAGAGTACTAAGAGAATATTGCTTTCTTAAGATTGGATGAAAGGCTGTTGTTTTCCACCTACTGACTTACTAATAGAATGATTTCTTGCAATCCTTTATGACACTTCTTGCAATCCTATATGAGTTTTCTTCCATGGTTTTAGTGCATTACAGTTGCTGGGGTTTGTTTATTCTTCTGCAGCTCTCAGCAAAGGTAAATTATTTCATGGCAGAACTGGTTTGTCTAAATAAACTTAGTGTTGTGCTTAGTGATCTAGAAGATGACTGTTCTTCGTGGATAATTGTTTTTGTGATGGTGATTGTTCTGCAGACATTTGTTCAATTTTCTTTTTAGACTCTAAATGACTCACAGGATGAGAGACAGCATATTTCTGCATGAGAAAAGAATATCTAGAGATTTTTCTTTTCTTTTCCCCCAACTTCCTCTTCCTCCCTTCCTGTGTTATGCCAAAATTGAGTGGGAATGAGAAGTTGGGTTTGGATGAAGGTGGGATTTTGGTTATTAGAAGTTGAGGGAGATTGTGATGAATTCCTTTTATATGTTAAGGGCAGATTTGTTCTTTGAAGATTTGTTTCTCAGTGTGAATCACATGTGCATACATGTAATCCATCTGGGATTTGCAGTGTGGAAACACTGCTCTGTGTGTGCTACTAAACCATTAGTCATCCCTTTATTTAAACCCTTTTTGTTACATCTGTTCAAAACTTCCTACAATAAAATATAAATGTGTCCTTAACTGCAGTTAACTCTGTAACTACACCTCACCCTCACTGCTTGTTGAACAGTAGTAGCTACAGGTCATACATAAACACTTTCAGAAAGAGTTGACTAGATTTTCGTGTGACCACTATTCCAGATATGTACCAGCTTTCATATGGCTCTGCATAGCTTAAGTATTGCTCTGGAATAGATGAGGTTATTAGGAACAGTTATGGCAAGACCAGTTACGTCAACCACAGCTGGTAGGTGTTTCTGTGTTGGCTTTTGTGCTGGAACTTCGTCTTAAGTTTTCTCTCAAATATTACCCTTTTTCCCTATAAGCTTTTTCTATAACTTTCCTAGAAGTGAGAGGAACATAGAACATGTCAGTTACTGGTTTAGATAGTCCAATAAAGGAAAGAAACCTTTTGTTTGATACAAATAGCATATATAGGTTTTAATTTGGTTAAGAGATTGGCCTGTCTCTTGAGTTAATTCCTTCTTACAAATGAAAAACTGGTATAGCAGGATGAGAAGATTCTTATGACCACCTTAGTGACCGGTAAGATTTCACCACTCAAGAATATCCCAGCAGTCTCTTATCTGCACTCAAAATATTCCTCTGACATTAATTTGAAATGAAAAATGGAGTAATCTTGGGTTAGTTTAAGTGAAATTAAACCTTGAAAACAAATTCCTGAAAGTCTGTACTATGTAGCACCTCTTCGAGAATAAACATTTTCCGTAGAACTCGGTATTATTTAGCCTATAGATGAATCACATGAATTGTTTTTAATTCCTGAATCGGTAGGAGAAGATGTCTAGAATTTCAGCTCAAACATCATAAAAAAGACAGTAGCAGGAAACTGGTTATTCCTTTTAAGAGTCCTGGAACTGTGTGTAGCTTAGGTCACGTTAAAAGTGTTTTTAGGCAAAAAAATGTTTCAATCCACTTTTAAAACTGTTTGAAGAAATGGAATACAAATGTGTTTTGATTAAGGAGATATTTGGTGCTATTATATCTGACATACCTTTTGACTGCATGCCACTGTTCAGAGACTGTTTTCAATTAAGGTGTAAATTTTAAAAGTTTATTTGGGAGACTTAGTTGCTCCCAATTACACTTTCTATGTAGAATTTATATCTGAAATCAGACCAGCTGTTGTTCTTACATCCTTATTCTGTACATTTTGTCTGTCACCCTGAGCGTTTTAGGTAATTTGAGCTACTTCTCATTCTGAAAAACTTTGAATGGGTTAGACATTATATTAAACTTTTACCAAATTTACATCTTCACAGCAAAAACTTGAGCTCCATCGTTGAAAGGATGGGAGAAGCTGATGTTCCTCTAACAAATGAAGTATTAGAAAGTAGCGTTTAGGATTTGGACTGTTGGTATATCAACATATGGGCAAATAGCATATAGCAATATGACAAGATTATTTGGTATTTTGTGGGTACAGATGGCATATGAAGTGTACAGTTCAGTCTTGCTCTGGAGCATTCTGATTAATGTTTTTCTCATCACTGTAAAGCACTGCATGCATGTGGTTTTATTGAAGTAACACAAGGTTTAAACAGTCACTCTGTCCACAAAGCTCACACGCTGTGTTTATGTTTTAATATAATTACACAGTAAGGTTCTGTTTTTTTGGTGGCTTGATTCAGTAGTGATCTATATTTCCTTTTCATAAGCTTACAGTTTTACTCTGAAAAGTGACTGAAAATGAGGTGACAAGCTACTTCACAGATTCACTTTTTCAGTGAATCCAAATTCGTAGTTTCTCAAATATCGATTTAAGTTAATTTAGACTTCCAACTACTCGCTGTGTTTTCTCACTTTACTCATCAGTATCCCAGAGCCAATTTGATGGTATAGAGTTATGAACTGGCTTCTTTTTTTTTACGTCATCAACGAAAGTTTCCAAGTAGTTGTATCTGTATTTGTGTCAAAGCGGCTGTGCAGGGAGAGGAAGCTAACATTGTATTTTGAAAAGTGGCCTGTGTGACCCCAAAGGGACGACTTAACCTTCCTTTCCGGTGATGCAGCCGTCAGCCCATCTTGCTGTGAAAATCTGGGGGAAATGCCAAATACAAAGTCTACAATGTGACTTTGAGCGTCACTTTGCAGAGTACAACCATGTGTTGCTTCATTTAATTTTATGTAAAAATAACTTTGTTTGTGATGTGTTGGTTTTTTTTAGGAAACAAGAGCATGACCCTTCACATGAAACAAAAGAATGCAATAGGAATCACACTCAAAAAGTTGCATCAGTTGAAAAGAAAGAAGAAAACTCGTCACTGTCAAATACAGGAAATGTTCCTAGTTTGGAACTTGCTGACAACAGCTCTAAGAATTCCTTGCATGAGAAAGGAGCATGTTGTGATTCAGATAATAACAAACAATTAGTAGATGAGAAACAAAAATGTATTAATGAGGGAAGTGAGTTGAAAACTTGCCAAAGTTCAGATAATGTTACCTTGAATGAGCAGACTGAAGTACATAGCTTGGATGAAACTACACTTTCAGCAATGAACGCCAGGGACTTAAAACTTACATTGGGCCAAGATGTTAGTTTTGAGCAGTTCTTAAGGAAAAGAGATGATCCTGAATCCGTTAGTTCAGACATTAGTGAACAAGGCAGTATTCATTTGGAGCCTTTGACTCCATCAGAGGTACTAGAGCATGAAGCTACTGAAATTCTTCAAAAAGGTAATGTTGCACCTTCATCAAAGAAAGCCGGACAACTCTCTGAACAAACAGAGGAGAATTCTAAAGAAAGCAGTCCCAACAGAATGGAAACAACTGTAAACAAGACAGAGGAAAATGAAGCAAGCTGAAATTATGTTAATTTTATTGTTTGTTATAAACAATGGGTAAGAACACCATGGACCATTCCTGATGAGTGTGCTCATTGATGCTAATTACTGAAAATACAAAAGGGGGGTGGGGGGAGAGGGGAGAGACACTAAAGGGGAGTTTTGCATATGAAGATAGCATGTATGTATATGTACAACTGAATTAACTAAGTTTACAAAGGTAACGTGTTCATATATATCTTCCTGTCTCTGAAAGGAGGATCAATCGAAAGGAGGAATAAATTCTAATTTTTATAGTTAACCAGCCTGGGATAAGGAGATTTGTTTGCAAAGAAAATATTTTTTTAAATCCTTCAGTGTGAATATCATTAAGCAGTGGAATTTAGTATTAATTCATTTCTGGAGCACACTTGCAATGATGGTTATTGGTCTGCTGATAATGTGGGTAAACATAACCCTTTGGACTCGGTGTCACATTCCTGTCTGTAAAAGCATGTAAACAGAATTATATGAATCTATGCACCTCTGTACAGGTGTAATCCTGCCAGGCTGTAAGCTTACCTTAATAAACTTTCAGTGAAAGTGGAATTATTACAATAAAAATATATATTTGTGGGGTTTTAAGTGTGCAGGCTGTGCAAAAATACCGAACGTCAAGTAGAACATACTGCTGAAAGTACTGTAGCTCTTAGGCTTTTGCTATTGTTTTAATTACTCTTAGCTGTAGGCCTGTAGGAGTGGTCTGTAAGTCACACCAAAGTATGGTTTAATGTAAAAACTCTTTAAGCAAAAAGAAGGAAAATCCCAAACTGGAAACATCAGTTGCCATGCGTTCTGTCATTTTGCAGCTGCTACTGGCTAACTGTTACAAAAAGGACATAAGGGCATAAAAAGTAGAATTGTACAGTTCAATTTCAGGACTTTTTATAGTCTATTGTGTACAGGAAGATGGCTGCTGGTTTTGGTTGGGGTTTTTTTGTTGTTTGCGGGGTTTTTTTTGTCTTCTAGTTAGCAGCTAGATGTAGGAATGCCTATGATTAACGGTAGCTTGCTCTTATGACTTCATTGCTCCATTTGAAACATTCAGAATGTGCTTTTGACTTAGCTTTGTTTCTAATGAATGTTAAATGTTTTGAACAGCTGTTAAAGCACTGCTGTAAATTATTACTTTTGGAGTAAATATTTGCAACAAAATTTTGTCTCTGTGCATAACTTTATGCTCAGCTGCAAACTTCAGGCATAGTCCAGTCGTCCCACTTTTTTCCCCCCAAACATTTAGTGACAGTTCCCAGAAACTTTCATTTTTAAGTTGTGAGTTTGAGACCTAAATGAGTGGGGGTTTTGTTTGGTGGGTTTGTTGGGGATTTTGGGGGCTTTTTTCAATTAACTGAGCAAGTGCCTATGCATAAACATGGTTTTGTAGCTGTCTACTGTGGTAATACGTGCTAACTTCTCCAGATTATATAGAGAACTTTTTTCTGGTCTATCAGCATGCTACTGAAGTCTCCTCTGCCCTTCTAGGTTAACTGGGCTCAGCTGCTAAATGAATGCAATCAGTAACAGTATTAAAATTTAGAGACTGTCCATCTTAGTGTGGAAGCCTCTAAATTAGACACTTGAATCTCATCTCAAAAAAGGCTTCTGACTCATAAAGAGTGATATGACTTAAATTTTGAACTGCATCTTAATTTTCATCCATGCAGGTTTAGAAGACTCTTAAAAAGAAAAGTGGAACAGTTTACATAGTCACAGCTCTTAAAGATCTGTCACTTTAAGAACATCAAATAACAAGACGTGGAAAAGCTGAGAGCTCTAAGTTGTAGTATTCCTTTGTTCTTTAAAGATTTTGGTGAAATGGTTAACTTGAAATACGATTAACCAGGCCCATGTCTTCAAGCATGTACACATGGAAGATTATAACATACAGCATCCCAATGAGGGCAGTTTAAAGGACTTACACATCAAGGTCCATGGATGTTATGTCAGTGAAGGAGTTCCTGGATGAAACTGTGCTTAAACCCAGAGAGATGGCTGTAGTATTCTTAATCTGATTGATCTTCCATGCAAATGATATATGTTGAATAACAATCTGATATGTGATGTTGGCAAAGACAAAGTTCAACTGGATCCAGTTGTATGAGGTTTGTGAATTTATCTCCTTTGTCTTTTATTACGCAATTCAACATAGACCATTTTAGTAAGAACTTTGAGGAGTTTGGCCACGTATTGTTGAGAAAAGCTGGCAAATAAAATGCAGATTGAAACACCTGCCTGTTTGGCAGTCATATACATGTTTTCAAATTCTTCGTATGTAAAGCATTGTTTGTTTCAGACTATGTAAAAAAGGCTTATACAAGAGGCAATGTTAGGTGTAAACCACCCAAATACCTCATAGCCCTTCCAAAGGAGTAACAGAACTAGAGTGTTACAGCAAGACCCCCCAGATAGCTTTAAAGATGACAGTAAGGTGTATTGTCAAAACAGTGGCATGGTGTCTTTGTGAAGGAGAGAAACTAAATCTCTTTACCATTTTTCCTATGTCAAATACTTCATTTACTGACTAAACACTGTAGGAAACTGCCTAATTATGAAGATTAATGTCTCTGATGTTGTTTGGGAAGTTTCCTAGAGATGTTAAATTGCTGCTTTTGGCTGAAGTCACTCTGGAAGATGAAGTTGCATTGAATACACTCTGAGTTATTTGATCGTAACTGCACATAATTCAGTTGTTGGTTTCAGAGTCAAAAGTTTGAGGTGCTTTTTTTCCCTGTCCAGACATCAGCAGTTCTTATTCTGTGCCATCTCTCTCTCTGTACTGAGGAAGACATTTCACATTTGCCCTACTGAAAAACAGTAACTTAATTCTTGGTATCCATACTAGAGTGACCATTTGTCATCTCAAGAGATTTGCCGTATTTGTTTGAATAACAATTTCAGATTATGTAACTTATTTTTAAGGGAATTGCATGTATATGCTATCATTTTTTGCCTTTAATGGAAAGTTGTTGTCATTATTAGCTTATGGTCAGTGCATGTTCGGTCACTTGGAGCTTCAAGTGCAACCAAGGTGTGTTTGCCTTGTGCAGATAGGGGAAGAAACTTTGGTTTATTTTTGGTTAGTTTTTTCTTTAACAGAATGGATGACTGACCCCAGGGAAAAAAAATCAATTCATAGCACACACTGAATTTTAAGTATTGGGTGATATATTTTAACAGCATGTTTATAACCAACCCCTGTCCGGTTTTCTGGGAAATGGGGAGAGAAGAACCCTGGACAACAGGTGTTAAATTGTGTTTGGTGGTGCTTTACTGCCCAAAGACATTAGAAACTGAAGGTTGGGGTAAGGAATCTTGAGTAACACTTGCCATTCTGCAAAACCTTACATGAAAGCTGTTGATGCTTTTCTGCAGGCATTAAGCATTGTTATTTATATGCTGGCATGTGGAAAGCAGTTATTTTTTTATGCTATAGGATATACTAATTTTTCACCAAAGACTGTGGCCCTAGGCTGTCACAGTAGAATTTCGTTATAGACTGTTTAGAAAACCTTGTGTAGGGCAAACTTTTATACCCGATTGTTCTCTTTGTTTTCATTAGTGTTTGATTTTTGAGGCTTGTGAGCTTATTTTGTGTAGTTGCATCCTGTATTTTTTTGATGTATGCTTAATATGCCTCCAATAAAAAAAAGTTGGTAAGTATGTTTTATGATTACTTGAATGATTTTTGCTTTTAATTAAACTTTTACTATGATTTAATGTAGCTCAAAAGGACATATCTTAGATGAAACCGGGCATGTTATCACAACTGAGTATTACATTTTAAGGAATAATTTTGACTCTTTTTCCCTATTATTTCAGTGCTAAAAGAGGAAAGCATTTTGACCAGTATTTCATTTTAGAGACACTTTGCACAAAGTTCTTTGTTACGTTCCTTTGAGTTTTGAATCACTGCTCTGGCTCTTAAGATAATTAATATTTTGTATTCAGTTATTCCATTGACCCAAAGTAACCATCTGAAGCTGTTATTTCCTGTATTGCACCACATTTTAAAAGAAAAAAAGAGTGCAAAATATTGTGCAACACTTGATTTTCAGGGAGATTAATGTAGTTGTCATGTCTGCAGAGTGCTATAAAGCTAATGCATTTATTGATGGGGTTGAGGGTTTTTTACTGTTAAAACAGTTATTTGAGAGAGGCTGAGGGTTTTGTGACAATCACTAGGATAGCTGTCGTGTTACATATATCTGCATTTAAATTTGGGCAAATTTAGCTTCTTATTAAGGAAATGGTCAAATCACATGTATGGGCTGTATCAGACAATTTAAGATTAATTCCATGATCAAAACCTGTTAGCTTGTCATCAACCAGTTCTCCATGCTGTAGGCACTTTCTAAGTAGCAATGCTAACCAAATCCCTCATGTTAGGAATTTAATGTAAATAAGCTTCATCTCATATTTTAGTTCACTAAATTCTCAATTATAGGCATTTCATTCTAAAAACCCTGTTTTCTCCAAAAATGTTGGTGAATGAGGTAGCGTATCATGGTGTCGTTATAAGATCATGGTTTCATACTGGTACTGTCATGGCCTTGAAAATGTGACTTGTGAATGAATGTTTTTCTCCTAAGAAATATAATTAACCTTTTTGACTAAAGGCATGTAACCTGTGGGTCTTTTTCTTACAGCCTCTTGTGACTTTTTAATTCTGATCCTATCATGATACTCTAGCAACAAATTGAAGTCCTTGCTTTTCTGTCTTTTGAGGCTGTAGAAGTGGAACATGAATAGTTAATGGTTTTAAAATTGTATATATTGAATTACTTGGGTGTTTTCTGCCTGAAATGAGCACTGAGCTTTGTGTACCAGTTTCTCAGGTTTGCAGCTGAATTCAGCTGAGATTTCTTTCCACTTAATCTTCTTGGGAGGACTTCACTTCCTCTTTGAGCTATCAAGTTGACGGCAGGTGGTATAATTTCCCCAGGATACTCAGTGAAATGCAGTATTTTTGTTAGGTATTATTT